TGTCCACGCGAGGATTAGTGCCATTGAATATGAGCCGAATTAAAAGTCGTGTTCTGAAGTATCAAAGCTAAAAACGAGTTACTATGACGTTTTGAGATTTTCCTTTTGAAAAAGATCATCTTCGACTAAATTGTTTTGTGTACTCTACGACTCTACGTAACCACCATCTACGAGTACACTAACACATTTAGTCCAGCGTTTTTCTAACTGTTTCATTCCACAAAAAAAATTGCATTTGAAAGAACACGCTACCGCGCTGGGTTAATTTGTGGCCCCTAAGGTAGTTTTTTTTCTCATGTGCTAATTCGGGATTGGAGAGTGATGAGATAATTTTAAGAGGTCACTCGGTTTGCGATAAAAGCTTCAACATATCGATCATTGTGGATCCGATGCAATTGTTGTGCAACAGTTCCAAAAAATGTTCGCCATCAACTTTCCAGACAAAGATTAGATTTTGTTTTTTTGGATATGCACTAACTAATGTTTAATTAGGGAGAACAATGGCACAAAAGAGATATTTAGGAAACTATACACAATTACAATATATTTTTGTTATCAAAGCCATAATTTTGACCGCGGATGCGCTGGTATAACAGCTTTTGGGGAGGAATCACAAGACTACTACGATCACAGAAGTGTCGCAAATACCGCTGGGCTAGAGGCTGTTTCAAAACGAGGGCACAGAAATATGGAACAACACCTCGAACAACACACACTGCAGCAGACATCACAAACTGCAAGGCATTCCGGTGTTTGTAGCCAAGTGATAAGCCTTAAAAGGGTTAAAGGACTTTAAAGATGAAAATACGAAGACCGATTCTAACCTAATAATTTCGTGGCTAAGAACTTATTAATCAATAATCAAGACCAAAAATGGTAGCTTTCACTGCGTTTGAGCATAGGCGAGAGTGCGTATTACCAATATCTACATTGCAGAAATGAGTTGCTATCGGCCGGAAACCAAAATTTACCGTTTATATTGGCAATTATCAGATTGGCAGATATTATTTACGGATTTCCTACATCATTTAGAAGCATTTTAGTTTCTTTGCTATAATTATATTTTTCTCGATTCTAGTAAGTGGATTACACTACGTTACCTATAGGTACTTATTTGATCTTCGAGTGTAATTATTGAATCTCAAGTCCTTAAAATTGAAGTTCCGAAAACGCATTTACAGGTGTATCTGGTAAGTGTTAGTTACTTTCTGTGTCACTAAATACTACTGTCCACGATGAACTACCTACTCTACTGTCAAGTCATCAGATTCTTGTTCAGTAGGAATTATGTGTTACCTATGTATTAGTGGAAACTTTATACCATTGGGTTGGTAACACGGAATGTATTCTAAAATATCTATTGACAAATAAATTGACAATGTAAGCAATGACAAATATAACTTAAGTTCTATAGGTATTTAATTTAGTCGTCCAAAATAGCAAACTTAGGTTTTACCGTCGTTTCCATGGAAACAATGTTGTAGTCTGTTCTGAACTTTATTTTATATCGCGCTCCGCGTCCCATTTTTAATAGGAATGACAGATGGCAATGGAATGCACAATGATTTGTCTCTCTTAATCTACCTTTACCGTTAAAGTGATCAATTTCTCTACCTTTACTGTTAAAAAGACACTTAGCCTACTCACTCAAACCTATTAAAATATTAATTTAACATCTACTATAAAATTTCATGATCTGGCGATTATAAAATAATTAAAAATTTAACAGTACTAACCTTCGCTAGGGTTAGATTTATACAAATTCTTCCAATGACCATCATCATGAAATTCCCAACGGCATATAAGTAGAATTCGAATCTACAGTGGAGTTACTAGAACTTAGGAGTTTTAAAAATTAGTGGAGACACAATTTCATTTGCTTATATTACACAAAACATTCTTTCTAGAATGTTCTTAGAATGTTCGGAAGAGCTCAAGGACGATTCAGAACGTTCTCGAACAAACACGTCATATTTCTAGGAAAGATTACTTACTTCACATCCGCCTTCGTTCTTTATCGCCGATGACTAATCTTTCATGGTGCCTCGATGTCTATCCGGATTTCTGGAATATTCCCTACAGTATCATAACAAAGTTACCAGCAAGACTTGTTATAAACAAATGAAATATTATACGCAAGACAATGCTCTTTAGACTCCATAACCCCGTTACCACAATACTAAACGTGCGAATAATGTAAAATAGGTACTATATGTAGGTATACAACTGTAGGTATTGTAATTCTTTGCGAAGTTATTCAGAAATTTTCTACAATTTGGAGTGCACGTAGGTTGTTTAAATAAGAAGAGATCTTGGATTGGTGTTAACGATAACAAATTGTGTACAGTACAGTTACGAAAACGTGTAGGTACTTAATCAGAACTTCGGATTCGCTATCATACATCAAATTAGTTCTTGATAAAGATACCACGTTTAATTAGATAGCAAAACGTGCTCCGAAACTGTACTCCGAAACCAGTACTGTGCAGGTAGTCATCATTATCAGAATAAGTTTTGCGTTAGGTACTCCAGTTATCTAAAAACTTTAAGTTGGCTGTAAGTGTTTCATTTAAAAACGTGTCCAAAGTTGTGTGTGCATACTCGTGCATCCATTTTTGATATTCGTTACTATATTGTGATGTAATCAGGGTTTTATACAGAGACACTGTTTAAAAAGGAAGCCTAGGTAGTTTTATCTGTAATTTCAACAGATAAGTGGTGCAATAAATGGGTTACGGTCAGTTAAGGTCCAAATTCTTGTCATTTAAATGTCCCTCCAAGGCCCGAACTGTACAAAACAATATTGCAAGTTTAGTAACTAAAAATAAATCGTAGACTGGTTTTCCAACTATTTTCCAAAAGTCTTCATCAGAACAGCTTAGGATATTTCTAATTCGCAGATATATGGAATTTTTCAATCGCACAGTAAAATAACTTTTTAGTTAAATCACGTTACATGTTAGTGAATCGTCGATGATAACCTTCGTTATCACAAAACAAGATTTTGAAATATGGTTATACTCAGTTATGGCATTGTTTATTTATAGGTTATAGCAATAATTTCATATTATTAATTTTCTGGTATCAGTGTAGAAAAACTGAACAAACCGGAAGCAAAGGAATTAGTAATACGTAATAGAAAAATAAATCAACTGATCGGAATGTGAGTATCTCGATCTTTGAATTGATTCATACAATTTCGACCTTTAGCCCCTTAACTTTATAATAAATGCACATTTCGCCACACTCAATGAAATGTAAATATTGTGAAAATAAATTTACGGAATCTTCCTAAAAAAATCAGTAGGTAGTAGAAATACAATGGTAGTAGACAGAATATTTACAATAAAAATATTAAATAGTTCTGGTGTTTTTACGATAATTATGCGAATAAAGCGCAAAATAAATGTTTAATTAATACCTACCTCATTTTTGAGGTGCCAAAATCAATTAATAGAATAAAATGTCGACCAACAACACAGAGAAATGAAAATCTATAGTGCAAATACAGGATACCCTCAGCACTATCAAAATTAAACAATTAAACATATTTTATATGGAAAAATACCACTCCTCTTATCTAAGAAATGAAAATAATAAAAAAAAAGCGTTTATTCAAGATTATATCCATTTCAATTCATTTTTTTAACATATTTCTCACTAGGAAAACTTTTTGTATTCTCCTTCTTAAATGCAAATAATATCTTCATGCCAGTCTTGGTTTCCAACTAAAGGTTTAAAAGCGAGTAAAAGGTTTATACTTTTTAAACGTTCCTTCAGTTATAATATAGCCAACCCCTGTAATGAATTGCCAACTAATTTAAACAACTATCTACTAATGCATTCAAAAAGAAATTGTATCTCAGACTCCTTGAAAGACAGAAACATGCTTAGCAACACCATTCTTTCTTTACTTTTTTATAAATTTTTGTACTTTAGCTATAGATAGCAGTCTGCGCTTTTGCTTTTACTGGGTCTTTAATAACAACTGTTCTTGTCACTGTAATTAATACAGATTGTTGAAGGGTTGAGTGGTAGAGCAGATGGGGTTATCTTGGTAGCTCCAGTCTGAACTCCGCCCTATTGAGTTGTTCTTTTTTTTTTATAAATGGGTTAAGATACTGTCTTACTTAAAACTCAATAAATGTCATTATAATTATTATTATTATTACAATAGTAAGCAATCTTTTCACCTTTCCCAATGCTGTCTTTCCTTGGTATATTTTACCCTTTACACCCTCTATACAACTTCTGTTCGATTTTATAATAACTGTCGGGATTTTAAATGACCATACTTGCACTATCTGTACTTCTTCTAACTGTATCTTTAATTCTCTTACCTTCATTCCAAACTCCCTTCCAACCAATATTATTTTATCCATCATTTTTTTGTAGGTCATTTTCTGTTTCTACAAGTACTGCCGTGTGGACTGCGTATTTTATTGTCTTTATGTTGTTACCACCTATCCTACATTCTTTAAATTTCCTTTTCCACTTTTTCTAATAATTTTTCTGCATAGATGTTGAAAAGCATCGGTAAGGAGTGTCCTATACTCCTGTCTCACTCCTCTTACTATATTCACTTCACTTCAGTTTCTTCCCCATTCAGTCTGACCACTCTGGTTTTTATACAGCCCTCTCAACAGTCTTCTATCTCTCCAGTCTATACCAATGTCCTTCAGTACCTACTTCCAACAATACTACCCAGTTGACTACTGTCAATTGCCCTCTCTCAATCTAAGAATATCGTAAATCAAAATGTGAGTTGTGGCCCATATATTATAATATACCGATATCTCACTCATTGATGTACAAGGTGTCCTAAGTTCGAGGATTGGGATCTTGAAAACCGTAAGAGATACGATATCGGTTAAATGATTGTCGTGACTTTATTTGAACATTTTTAAAAACAAATGACACTTTCTTTTTTCTTATTCCGACTTGTTCTACCTCATAAACTAGCATGATGAGAATTTAAGTCCGACGTTTCGGTTTTTTTAGACCCATTATCAAATTGATTTGCATTTTTTAATATTACATTTTATAAGAGTTTGTCATTCTGAAAAATCAAGTACCTATCCCACTTGGTTAATTAGGTAGTGATACCAACCTAACATGAACAGAAGGTCAACATTGAGTAAAAAGTGAGGTAGCAGGAAATAAAAGCACCCCTCTCAATCGATATTGACGTATTGGTATTTTAAACAAAAAAGATATTTACAAAGTTATTTGAGAAAAATACGTTACCTTAAGGATTTATAACTAGACTTTGAAAATTGATGAGCAGTCGTGTAAAATACGTACAATTATAGATGGTACGAGCTATCCTAAAGTAACACCCTCCTTACCATGTTGCTATTGTACTATACAAACGACAAATCAATGTGTGCTCAAATGTGCAAATCGCAATGTGCTAACGAAAGAATGTTACAGATTTTTGCAGGAATTGGGTGAAGATGATTACATTAGCGACGAATATACAGGGTGTCCCATTTTCAACATTTTATAGGGTATCTCCGTAATTATTACTGCTATCAAAAAACTAATGTAGGGGTCATGTGCTCTTTTTGGGTCAAACTTGAAATAATGACAACAAAATTTGAAAATATTCGCTCGCTTAAGAGATAGCCCTATATTTATCGAGAAAAATGTTTATTTCACGTCTTCAAGTTTGATTGTTAAATAGTCTACCCTTTTCAAAGGAAGTATACGGGGTGAGGCAAAAAAGTTATTTAATTTTTTAGAATGGAACACTATACAAAAATGAAACATACACAAAATTGAAAAAGAGTAAAGAAGATTTAAATAATTTAAAAAAACGTTCAACTGACTCAAATAAATACATACAAATTTCAAATATTAAATTTTTGTATTATTTTGATTATTTCAACAATCGTGAGAAAGAAACTTTTGTAATAATCATTTCTCTGTATCTCTTGTAACTAACAGAATATAGGGCTATTCTGAAATTGTCATTTTTAGCCCATTTTCTAACGAAGTTAGGTGCGTTATTGCAGCCATTTTCTTTGTCCGTTCGCCTGTCCATCCGTCAGTCCGCCCGTCCGAGGCTTTAAGTACTCCTACAGTTTTGAATATATTTAAGTTTTTTAAAATTCGGTAGCTTATAGCTCCGGCACCTGAGCCAAGAAAAATCTTTACGATTAATATGCGCATGCGCAACCGGCGCAATATCAACTTTTATTTTTATTAATATATTTTGTTGAAATTTTACCCACAGATAGTTTTAGTAAAGGCAAACATATCACATGTAGGAAAAATGAGATGTGCGCATTCGCAGACTGCGCAATGCCAACTTCCTTATTTATGAAGACATATTATGATCACATGTAGTAAAAATCTAAAACTACAAATGTGATTAGTAAGGGCAAACACATCGCACATAGTAAAAATCAAATGCGCATGCGCAGACTGCAAAATGCCAACTTTTTTGCTTATGAAGTCAACGCTAGTAAAAACTAGTAAAACAAACGTATTGCATATACAGTGAATTTTTTTTAAATGCGAACATAGGAGTTTGCATGCAATGTAATTTCCCTATGTTCGATTTTTAAAAAAACACATCAATCTATGAGGTGTGCGCGGTTCACATTCCCAAATCGCGCAACTTGTGTGACTATGAACAGCAACTCTATAGTCTTTATGATGAAGAGCACTCGGTAAGATTTTTTAAAGAAGCCATGTGAGGCCATGGTAACTTTAGGATACATTTTTCTTAAACTTACGATAACTTGACCTCACAGGCCACGCACTGACACCACAACTCATTGTGAACCAACCTTCAATTATTTGTAGGTCATGTGCACCTGGTATTCAACCAATTTGATCTATTCAATACATAAATGAAGAAAATAAGGAAATAAATATTACAATTAAAATTAAAACAATTACAATAAATGTTCGAAGTGTCCTCCTTGACATTATAAGCAATAACCTAACCGATTTCGTAATTAAATTGGACGGCGGTATTTTTAAAAATGTGACAGCTGTCAATTGTATCTACTACTCATTTGAACTACTCAATAGATTGATGTGTTTTTTTTTAAATCGAACATAGGGAAATTACATTGCATGCAAACTCCTATGTTCGCATTTAAAAAAAATTCACTGTAGGTATATCATAAATTAAATGTGCGCATGCGCGAACAGCCCAACGTCGTCAACGTCAACAATTTATTTCTTTGAAATTTTGGCCATAGATGTCTAGTAAAGAAAAAACCTTTTGGGAAGTACTGATAAATGCATTGAAAATGCGATGAAGTTACTCGCCTCAGGGCGAAAACCTTTTTATTTGTTTTATTTTCCCTCGTATCTCGTAAGATCTTCATTTTTCCATCCAGTTCTTCTCTACTCATTGTGATCAAGTAATACCTCAAAATCCCAATTTATTAACAAATTTCATTTGGCACAGCACAGCCTCGACATTGTGGTCTTCCGGTCTCCAAATTGAAACAGTGAGTGGGTGTTACTGCCTTTATGTAATGATTCATTTAAATACGCAAATAAATGAAAAATGTTAAGAAAGTAATGATAAAAGACCTTCACATTAAAACTGGTTACATAAGTTACCATAAAATTAGCAACAATAATGCAGGTCTAGACAAGAGGTTTTTGGAGGTCTTTGTAGAAACAGTGGTTCGAAATTGAAGTAAAAAGATATCTATTTTATGAAACTGGACGAGCAGATTTTCGAAAGGATTTAGACGAAATGATTGTGAAACGCCAAATATTCGTTAATCGACTCGAGAAAGTATAATTAAATATGCGTCCACTTATAAGCATTTTCGAGGGCAAGTTCAAGCAAAACGAATAGATCCGGCCTAGCCTTGAATAATAATCAATTAGTAAATCTGAAATTAAAACCCCGGTATAACTGAATACTGAACGAGTCTCGAGATCGTTTTTGGGCTGTACCTTTTTGACCCGATAGTCTACGTTACTACGTATAGCTGAAAAACAATAGCGACCTCTCTTAAATCCTTAAGAACATGCGTACGTTTCTAAACAAGACAGACAGACACCCAATACAAAATTATTAACGATTTCGAGGAGAGAGACGTTTTAGCTACCACTTTGCTATAGGAAATATTTCCATAATCTATGTCGGCAACGTCTGATATAGTACTTCATCGTGATCAATACTTGAAAGAGAAGTGAATTCTCCGTGTAGAAAGGAATCTATATAACTCATGTAGAAGCATCATAGATAGTCTCTCTTAAAAATGTATTGGGCACCTGATTTCCACAAATTATACCTTTCCCCGTTATGGGTTAATACATTTCGTTCAAAAAGAATTGGACTCGTGCAATGTAGTCGGGTTTGTATATACAGTCAAAGATCGCAAAGAATTTATGCCAACTGCAGACTTATAATGGTCTTCTAAAATTAATGCAAGAATTTTATGATATCTCATATTCTGCAAATATTTTGGACTTCTATTTATTTATCCTTGCATTATTTAATAACACAGCAACTCGTACGTACAAAAATGTTATATTTTCGGAATACTCATCAATAATAAATCACCATAGATAAAGAGTTTAGATGCAAATCTGGAAAGTAACTTGTACGTTGTCAGTTTTCATGTGAACGTATCGTAAATAGTGCAGTTTCGTTCCATTTAAGCTTCCTTTACAAAAAAAGTCAGCTTGCTCTAGTGTAGAACCTATATTTGACTATAATCAAGGTCCTACTCGATTAGGGAACCTTAACTATTGTGAGATGGTCGGGTCTGCTTAGATCCAAATTCACTTCATTCTCCTCTTGTTTCGAGTTTCTTCTATCAACTTAAAATTCGAAACCCACAAAAGTTTGCGACCGAGTCACAGAGGCCAGTTGATGGATGCAACTAACGGTTTTACTATAGAGGTTTCCAATTATTTGAAAATCGCCGATCGCCTGATTCTAATTAAATTTGGTATACCTACTTTGGACATAAAAGTAACGAATTCGAATTTAGTTTTTGGAAATTCAAATGCTCAGAATATACACATACACACCAAGTCAATAAAACTTGATATATGCCCATATAAGTTATTACTAAATACGAATGCAAAGCGAGTGTGGACCCTAGGGGTCAACTCCCGGTGCCAAGGTCAGAGGTTAAAGTTTCAAATGACATCAGTACATTGAGATCATCTCATTACCAAAAGCCGTGCAAAAGTAGATAGGCATATCGACAAGAGGTGTACTACTTTCGAAACATATTGTAACGGAAATGCTCCAGACATGACGTCGCCTTTAGCGCTCTGGAATTTTCTACGCGCGCGATAGTAGGAACATTCGAGAATGTACTGGACTTACATTGCTTGCGTGTATAAATGGTTGCGGACCGAACATCGCGGGAGTCTACTAGCGAACGAGTACGTAAACATCGAGCGCGGAATAATAAATTGCGAAGTATGAGTGATATAAATAATCGATATAAATTGTACGGTTTTTATAGTGTTTTAGTTTTGTTTAATAAATATTGATATAAATCGAACCCGAATTTATAAATCACGTTACATTGGTGTCAGAAGTGGGATTAATTAAATTAATTAAAAGTAAGTTTAAATTAAGTGCTTGTGCTTGTGTATGCCTGTAACAAGATCTGCTGCCGCTAAAATGGAAGAAACGATGCTCAATTTGCTCCAGCAAATCCAAAATGGCCAACAGGTGTTGCAACAAGAAATGAAAAGCAGCCAAGAGAAGTTCGAGAAGATGGAAGAAAATTCTAGAAATATTCAAGAGAAGTTGGAAGAAAATTCTAGAAATTTTGAAGAGAAGTTCGAGAAAATGGAAGAAAATT